GTTGGTGGACTTTATTTTGCAGGTCACATGTTTTGTCAGTTTATTAGCTTTAGATACACTTAGACAAATGGTATGTATTATATTATATCCTAAAAATTCTTATTAAAGGTAATGTTACATTAATATTTTCGTTTTAGAACAATAGACTTGATGTATGTTGTTTCATCCATGGTTCAAAGAAAGACACGGGTGAAGAAGTGGTAGATGGAATTTTATATAAAATATTTAAAGTAGCATATGTTCCTTTATTATTAAAAAAATGGGTACGCACATCTGTAATGGTGGTTTTCTTTGGTTGGCTTTGTACCAGCATTGCAGTTGTACCACATATTGAAATTGGTTTAGATCAAGAACTTTCTATGCCTGAAGATAGTTATGTACTGAAATACTTTAAAGTAAGTCAAATACTAAAATTATTTAATTAACAAATGAAATGATTATAATTAATTTTTTTTTCGTACAGTTTTTGAATAATTATCTGTCAATTGGACCACCGATGTATTTTGTTGTTAAAGATGGTTTGAACTACTCTGATACACGCCAACAAAATTTAGTTTGTGGTGGTCAATATTGTAACAGTGATTCAGTATCTACCCAGATATTTACTGCATCCAAACAATCAAACAGGTAACAAATTACACACTGATTTTCAATAAAAAGGATAAACAAATTAAATTTTATTTATTTCTGCAGTACATATATAGCAAAACCTGCTTCATCTTGGCTAGATGATTATATTGATTGGTCTCAGTTAACTGGTTGCTGCAAATATTTCAATGCAAATAATTCTTTTTGTCCACATACAGGTAAAGAGAATTTTATATATTTTATATTACTCTATTTATAGTTTTCAAGTAGAACGTAACTTCTTATTAACATAAAAATTTACAGATATGTCCAGTCATTGTTCTATATGCAATATAAGTGAAAATGAATATGGTAGACCAGTACCAATGGATTTCCAAAAATATATATCATTCTTTTTAGAAGATAATCCAGATGAAACTTGTGCTAAGGGTGGCCATGCTGCCTATGGGCATGGTGTAAATTATATTACTGACCCAAATTCTGGTTTATCTGCAGTAGGAGCATCCTATTTTATGGCTTATCATACAATTTTGAAAACATCTGCAGATTATTATGAGTCAATGAGAGCAGCGCGACTAGTTTCAGCAAATATAACAAATATGATTAATGTACATCTTACACGTCTGGGAGAAAATAGAAGCGTAGAAGTTTTTCCCTACAGTATCTTCTACGTATTTTATGAGCAGTATTTAACTATGTGGCCTGATACATTGAAAAGTCTTGGTATTTCTTTACTTGCCATTTTTGTTGTAACATTCTTATTGATGGGTTTAGATATTTTCTCTTCTTTGGTCGTTTTGATAACAATTACAATGATTGTGGTCAATATTGGAGGATTAATGTATTGGTGGCATATTACATTAAATGCTGTATCATTAGTAAATCTCGTAATGGTATGTGCATTTCGCAAATATTGAAATTAAATGGAAATATTACTGAATTATATATAGTATCTATATATTTGTATTTAATAACGATTAAAGTGTTTATCATTTTCCAGGCTGTAGGAATAGCTGTAGAATTTTGTAGTCACTTAGTGCATTCATTTTCCGTATCTGTTAAAACAACTCGAATTGATAGAGTGGCTGACGCTTTAACAAATATGGGAAGTTCTATATTTAGCGGTATAACACTTACCAAATTTGGTGGTATTATAGTACTTGGTTTTGCTAAAAGTCAAATATTCCAGGTATTTCATTTAGCATATCATTGTAGGTATAAATTAAACATGGAATCATTATTTATAACCAAAAAAAATATTTGCAGGTATTTTACTTTAGGATGTATCTGGGAATTGTCTTGTTTGGCGCTGCACATGGTTTAATATTCTTACCAGTGTTACTTAGTTATATTGGTAAGACAATTATAATATTAATAATAATGATAACATTATAAGAAAATTAAATTTTTATAATATAAAGAAGGATATTAATTGTACAGTTAATAGTTTTTTTTTTTTTAATTTGATATTTGGAAACTTAATATTTGCAAAATAAATAAGTACTGTTTTCATTCCATAATATATTTTTTAATTTCATAAATGTACATTATATAACATATAAAATAAAATGAGCTAGCATCATAGCTCCTGGTCATTTTAGGCTCACCCATGAATAAAGAGAAGCTGGCTAATCACAAAAGAGCAATACGGGGAAATTTGGACAGTGTGCAAGAGACCTCTTTAAATCATCGCGTAAGCAAACTCAATTCTCCTCCCACACCCACCACAACTACACCTACCTTCAGAGTGCTTGAATATGAAAGATAGGTATGCAGGAGATTAAACATCTACTTAAAAGTTTGTACTATTATTCAAATATAAAAGTATTATTTCCAAATAAAAGTAAAAAGATAAATTATTGTAATCATGACAAACTTTATTGGTTTGTACTATATTTGTTTGTATCTAAAGATATTTGTGATTGTCTATAACATTTTCAAACTGTTTTCTCCTCTATCTTTCATGCTAACACTTAACACTACATTTTTTTATTATTATTTTAATTAAATATTTTTTTTATTCTTCTTTTTAGCTTTATTGCATTTATTTTTAATTTTTATTCTCTAGGTATATTGGTTAATGAGCTTTTATTCAAGATAAAGATAGAAATGAAATCAAGAATTGTATTCTTTGCAAGAATATAATATATAGTTTTTTTAGTCATATATACTATTTATTATCACATATTTAATTCAGTATTTTATATTGTACATATCATCATATTCATAAATTATACTTACTTTTTTATATTATTGTAACAAATAACATAATTCTCTATTTTTATATTTAGGATATTATTACAACTGTAATATGCATACAATTGCAGTTTTAATCATTTGTATATATGTAGACAATTAGACACTCAGAATATTGTTTGCAGTTAAATGAAATAATTATTTTAAAATATCGTAATATCTTATATTTGCTGCTACATATACAAGATCAAATGTTTTATAGAATTATTCTATCTTTATTTGTTAAATTCAGCTGTTTTCACATTGATGAGTGTGGGAAGAAATGTTGTATTTGTCAATTATTGTTATATTAGAATTATGTTTTTGTCGATATTAATGTTACATGTTAAATATGTTTACAATTTATATTTGATTGATCAGTTTCATTATTAAAGAGCTCTTGTGATTGGTTAGCAAAATAGAAAACATAAGAATGGAATTACAAAAATATTTTTATTATGGATAGGTTTAGTAATTTAATATTCGAAGTTTTTATATCTTATTTTTGTGTTGTTGGTTTGTTTTTAGAAATACATTTATATGTGTTAGAGTATAATGTACACTTATTTTTTGTTGTTCATTAATAATATTAATCTTATAATTTTAGGCGTGATGTCACGCCGAGGGGCCAGGACAATCCACCACTGCTCCAACAGGTCTAAACATAATTCTAGGAATCAGAGGTGTCACAATGTCAACTCTCCTCTTCTCCAAGACGATATCTATCAACAACCAACCACTTCCTACTCCAGTGTGAATGACATCGATGCGATAAACCATCATGTGACGTTTTAGCGTTAAATCGTTGTCAATCAAATTAATACAATTTTTATATGTCTAGAGACTGAAACAAAAGTAAGGCAACAAGAATGTTTGTTTTCTTGTTAGAAAATGAGTTATTCTTTCTTAAATAAGTAGGAAGACATTTGTGTAAGTCTCGTCTTTAAATTAGATTTACATACTAATTTTTTTATATATATTATCTTTTCCGTGGAAGCTATGCCTTATAAATGCGGCGAATACAAGCAAAGAACGTCAATAGTGATTATTTGTAGCATCAAAATTGATGATTTATTGCAATTTATTATATTGGCATTTCGTATTTCTAAAAAAAGAAAGAAATTCAAATTTACATATTTAGATTTTTTTTTGGCTTTAAATTATTTATTTTCTGCAAGATTTTATAATTTCTTTATTTTGTTAAACTTATAGGTAAACTTCCTATTAGGGTAAATTTAATACTTACATAATTCAGTTAATAAATGACCTATTTTTAAAGGTTCCATTTTTATAGGAATCTAGTCCTTTATTATCGGGCACACATGATTTACATGCATTTGTATTAATTTTGTTATTATTGTTTATTTAGAGCATGGTAGGATTTGCATTTCTTATAAATTGTGAGGCTGATCATATATTCTGATACTGATGTTACTTATATCATTCAGAATATGCTTAAATTTTTAATTAATTAGATCTATAGATAGTTATTGGTACATATAATTATATTTTCTAATATATACAAGTAATATTAATACATATTATGTTAATATCTAAATTATTATATTATATTCAAATAATATCCACATCATTTTGTCCAAATGAATGTTGCCGTCCGTAATTGAAATTATTGGAAAATTAATTATGAAGCAGTTTTTAAATAAATAAAATCGTGAAAATATGTTCTTTTAAAAGGATATGAAATTATCGGCGCATATATTTTTATTTAATTGTATTAATAAATGTATTGTATCGGTATCAGTATATGAAAATCTGTCTCACATTTGTTTCTTTTGATCTTTTACAAACTGAAAGAATTATTGATTATACAAATAGTAGTATTTTTAATTTGCAAAAGTATTTTGTATCGGATATAATGTTAAGAGTAAATTAAGTTATTATTCTAATAGTAAATAAATGAGTTTTTAGCAAATTTAGGCAACATGATTGTAATACATAATTGGAGAAAAGGTTAGAAAGAGATATACCATGACTGCGCTTATATAACGTATACGATTTGTCTGAAATCATTATGTTATTATATGTTTTTACAGTCGAGGTTAGTTGTTTACTGTAAACAGTATATCCGATCTACTTTAAATTTCTATAATAGCTTTCATCGATAATAAGTAATGTGTACTATTTCATTAATGTGATTATTGGTATTAACGTGTACGTTTTTTAGTAAGTAAATTTAATTACTCACTTTATAGATATTCTGTTTTGCGATACGTAGTATGACTTATTGCAGTATTGTTTGGTTGTAAATGAAAAATTGACGAATGAATAATTAATCTTACACGAGTATATTACACGGTGTTTGTGATGCTTTTTCCTTCAGAATTTGTAACTTTTTTCACAAAGTTAAGTATATAAATTTTATATGAAATATAACTTTTATACTAACTACAAACAGTAAATAGACATGTTACAAACTCAATAGGTGAAATTGTTAGTCGATACATTTAAAAATATTACTAGGATATACTACATCCAGATGAATGCTCCAAAAGAGGACGGAGTATTATTCTGTCTTTTAAATTTGTATATCTTGTTGATTATCTTATGTAAATTCAATATTCTATGTAAAGTATACATTCGATGTGTGAATGATATCGCAAATCCAATATAAATGTTTATCGCCTGATAATATATGAGAAGTAATATATTTGGATTCGCTTAACAATGTATAACCCTTCTAAGAGATTGCATATCATTGATGGTTTTGAGATCAATCTGCAATACATTAAATAAAGTGGATAGGCATCAAATTAATCCATCGTAATAAACAGCGTGTTAAGGGTACCAAAGCTAACGGAGAGAGAATTGTGTTGTTAACACATTAAGAATAAATTCTCTCCTGTTTGTATCATGTGTTATAATTATTTTTTCCCATATTTTAATTAAATTAAATACGTTGTCTTTTGTGCACGCACAAAAAGGTTACTATAATTTTTCAATAATTTGTTAACACAATTCGTGTAAAGGACCAAATAGATGCACTGCTGGACAGTTGTCATCAGGATTGCCCAAGAATTGTGCATATAACTCTTGATATCGTGATAAAGTTAAACCGCCACGTCTTCTATCGTCGTCCTATTGACACATGATTTTTAAGTAATGCTTATTATTTAACAAAAAATAAAAAAATAAAAAGTAAAATTGAAACTTACGTTGAGAAGATTTTGATAAGCTTCATCGAGAATATTCACGTTATCCACGGCTATTCTAGTAACGCAATTGTATCGAAATTCATCAGCAGCAATGACACCATCGTCTAAAAGAAAAAACATTTAAACATTCAAATAGTAAGTTAAAAATAGTTACTACTCGTATACACATAAACGTACCATTTAAATCAACTATCTTGAAATGACTGTCTATAAACATTTTCATTGCTTGTGGAAAATCTCGATAATCTTTACCGACGCAACTTCTTTGAACGGCTTCCTTGAATTCCTCTATTGTCACTATATCGTCCTAAAAATAAATTGTTAAGAGAATATTAATTGGATCCAGACTTTTAGTTTAGTATTTGCTTATTATTTATTTACCTTATTAAAATCTGCTAATTCTGCAATCTCTTCCCATAAAGAGAGCATTATATGAAGATTTTCTTGGTATCTATTATAATTGAATTCTCCTTTTCCTTCGATCAGCGTCATCTTTAATGCCATACATTCAAAATCGTGTTTTTCAAGTATACCATTATTATCGATATCTAAATGACGTGATTATCTATATTATTATAGATATTATAAAATCAGATATTTATTTTTTAAATATAGTATTTTATAAAGTTAAATTGTATATGTATATATATACACATATGCCAAGTTAGTTAACAAATCAATCAAATCGTGCCAATTTGTTTCTTAGCACATTTTTACTATTTCATTGGCAATTTTTCAAATTTGTATGTTTTAAAGTATTGTAGAGCGTCATTAAACGCATGCTTCGATTTTCAAAAATATAGATCGTGTATAAAAATTATAAAAAATGATACGTATGTATATAATTTTACAAAAAAAAAAAAAATATAATTTTATTCATCTATAATATTTCATGTTTTAAGTCAATTTTTCGTTCGTAATGAACGTTCATCGTTCATAAATAGAAGGTATAGAATGTTATATGTATAGAGATAACAAGGACCAAGTTGCATGATTATGTCATAAAACAAAGTTTAGCACCGATTTAGATCTGGCATGAACGAAATGCGGACATTGATACGACATTGTGGTATACTTTAATTCCTTTTCTTTTCCTTTTTCATATTAAAATACGATCGAAAAATTTCCACAACACCATCCATATAATGTAGTTTTTTAACGATGTTAGTAACAAAATAGAAATATAAGTTCAGGTTTGATGAAATAATACATATACATATTATCTTATTATTCTTATGCAAATTCAAAAACACACCAGGTCCAACATTCCTTCGTTTTTTTATCATATAGTCGAAGTTCAATGTTAGTCGAACATAATTTTGAGCGTAAGTTAAACAAAAAAAAATTATCAATTCGTGAATGTTATATAGTATATATGTATATATCAGTCAAAAATAAATAAAAAGTGCATATTTGGACTGTCTGTACGTGGTATCCACGTGGTTACAAGCACGGATACTAAAGAGTCTGATTTTTTTCACACGCATGCTCCTGCTCTCCGGAAAGGGCAACAGCGGCGTGTACTAACCATACAGAAATCTCACAATAAAACTAACGCGATTATCCCAGCTGTAAGCCATTCTTCTTTACGATGTTCGCAAAGCGATACGTGCGCACTCCTTGCACACACTCGCTCTCTTCGCTTTTATAAAGTTCCTATTTTCTTGCGCTTCTTTCTTTCTCTCTCTCTCTCTTTCTTTCTTTTTTTTCCTTCTCTTTCTCCCTTTTTTTAGTTTTGTTTTAATTCTTCCTCTTTCTCTCTTTTTTTTTCTATTTAAGAGAATAGTCAAACGATAAATCCTCTCAATAACAGTTTCTCTCTTCTCTCTCACGGGACCACTTGTCTCTTCGGAGACAAAAAGAGAGGGAACAGAGAAGGAAAACAGAAATTTCAAACGGAGAAAGTCGCTCGAGAGGATGGTGCTTTGCACTGAACTCGAGTCGACTGTCTGGACTGTTAAATCTAAGTTTAGATTTCTCTTCCGAGGGAAGAACGTTATTAGTGGCGGTGATGGTGGTGGTAGTGGACGTCCTGGTGTTACACTTGCTAAAAGATGGAGAGGGGAATGATAGAAAAGTTAACCAGATGGTAACGATCAGTGTCACAGATATCACAGAAATTACACTTCATTTTAACGTTATTTCTATCGTAATGTTCGACTATTAATTCGATTAAATTGCAATAAATGTCATCTATTAGTTCACCCGAATTCGTATACGTCTCATTTATTATTTGGCAATTTCAACATTGTTGCGAAGCAATCTAGGCCCGAAGAATCTAAATATCACACATTGCTCTTTCGTGATTGTTTCTAATTTCAAAGGAGGTCACGTTTGAAACAACAGCGAGTTAACTCCGCCGATTATCCAGATTCGTTTTTATATAACATATAAAATGTATTTTTTTCTTAACATACTATCAACAATTTTCCACATTTTCCATGCTAAATTATAAATTCTTCCTCGTTGTTCTTTGTCGATTAGCTCTACATTTTGTTTATTTTCACTTTGCAAACCTAATCAATTCGATGTAGTTTCATTATTACTAAAGATCACTAATTTTATCTCTTGCAAGCTTAATATCCATGTACCCGTTGTCTATATCCGAAAACGATAAACAAAGGAGTCAGGAACAGGTGTAGGCGATGATGAAAACATTTATTGTAAAATACCAATTTTCCGCGATTGCATCATCTCTAGTTGGCTCGTTGAATAGATACAGATTTCCGGTGTCGAAATAGAAATAGAAAATAGGAAATTTGAAGCTCTCACAATATTTATCAATGCGTTTTACGTCTATCCAACGTAATTAAAGAAATATCGCACGTCAATATCATTAATCAAAATGCATTTTCATATCCTCATTTCTATGTCCTATATATTCAATCATCAAATTTGATATCGTATTGATCGATTTAATAATTTTTAAATAAATATAGAAATAAGAAAAAAAAGAAAAAAGAAATACTCCTTAGTAAATGGCCAATCGAATAATCGTCATATAAAGCATCACTAAAGTGAGAGGTGTTAGTTTGAAAGTACGAGCTCTCGTAGGAAGATCGTTGCACGCCGAATGATCGGCATGAGATCGAGGTTTCATTCGTTGATCATTGCTTTGTTTGGCTTTTCCGGTGAGTCAAATAATTTTGGATTCGTGTCACGTCATTAACCGATTTAAAAAGAATTTTTATCGATTTAATTAATAATTTTTATTTTCCGATCATGCTTTCCTATGATACTTAACCGATTTATCTTATTAAATAAACGATTTCTCGTATCATAGTTTTGGTATATCACTGTAATTAGCATATACAAAATGAATTATATCATTTCGAATGTGATTTCCGCATAAATTTAATATCGATAAAATCGATCGATCAATAAAATAAAACTAATTAGAACAAATAGTCGCTTTGAAATACACTTGACGATCTAAAGAAGGTATGGTGCGTTCTTTGCCGCGGGCAAAAATCCATTGACACGTTAACCCACTATCGTGATCAGTCCAATAAACAGAGATCACTTGTGAATCTTTTAAATGAATTTTCGATACTAATTACGGAGAAACTTATTTATGTTTTTACCATTCAGTAAAAACTGTTACATTTCATTGAATTTCTCTGTGATATATTTCATTTTTCAGTCATCGCGGTAAAGGCGACGGAAAAGATAGAAAATGCGCCTTGCATCGATAACGATAAATTTTATCGAAATCCAAATAGACCTGCGTATAATGTTTGGTCATCTTCCGAATGTGCTAAATATTTTTTGTGTTTAGGTAATTTGATAAATATTTTCTTATTGTTATGTTCTAATGTTTTTTTTAAATATACAAATCTATTATTAACTTTTGTTTTAATTTATTTACAGACAATGAAGTATTCGAATTTAAATGCTCACAGGGATTACTTTTTGATGTAACTCGACAAATATGCGACTACAAGATGAACGTCGATAATTGCGATGTAACTTTAGGTATTTTTCTTATTAAATTTCTATATGTGTCTTGTTTCCTATTTATGTTGTAATTTAGTTAAAACAGAAGTATTTAGTTAATATATATTTTGTATAACAAATTTCCTATTTAATCGAATACTTTATCATTTATTGTTATAAATTAGCCAGTTATCGTGTTATAAAAGAGTAAATTATTTTATTGTTCATCAGTGTAATCAATTCATTCTGATTTTTATTTAAAACGATATTTTTCGATTTTAATGTTAAATCTATTTCGAATATATTTATTGAAATTTGGAATGTATTTTATAGAGCCACAATCGCCAAAACCTTTACTCGAGAATAGTAAATGCGATGAAAAAAATTTAGCTTGCGGAGATGGTACATGTCTTCCAGCTTTATATTTTTGTGACGGAAGTATCGATTGTCCTGATGGATCAGACGAAAGTTGGTGTGGTAAGTAAAAGTAATGATCATAAATAAATTTAGGCTTATAATATGATTTTATCATTTAAATTATATTAATCATAGACATGCGAAATGATCCAAGAGCTGCATCTACGTGTGATGAAAAAAAATGTCAATTACCAGATTGTTTTTGTTCGAAAGATGGTACACGCGTACCAGGAAATTTATCAACTACAGCTATTCCGCAAATGATAACCATTACTTTCAGCGATGCTATCAACGCGGAAAATTTTGATCTTTTTACAAGTAAACTTGATTACATTCTTTGTATAAAATATATATTAACGTTAACAAATTATTTATAATTTATTATTTTAGAGATATTTTCAAGTGATAAGAAAAATCCTAATGGTTGTTCTATTCGTGGAACTTTTTATGTCAGCCATCAATTTACTAATTATAGAGATGTTCAGTATTTGTGGAATAAAGGTCACGAAATTGCAGTTCATTCAATTACGTAAATATTTTGTTTTTTAAAAATACTGTTTGTTAGACTTTGTCACAAAATTTTATATTTTATAGTCATCGTGGACCAGAAGAATGGTGGTCGCGAAATGCAACTGTTGAAGATTGGTTTGACGAAATGGTTGGTATTGCAAATATTATTAACAAATATGCTGCTGTAAGGATAGAGGATATTAAAGGTTTGTCTTATGTTTTATATAGAGTACAAGTGAAAGTAAAATTCCAATTCACATATTTGGAATTCATTTCAGGATTAAGAGCGCCTTTTTTGCAAGTGGGATGGAATCGTCAATTTTTAATGATGTTGGAATTCGGATTTGTGTATGATTCATCCATAGTAGTACCATTTTTAAATACACCAATATGGCCTTATACTCTTGATTATAAGATACCATATGCATGTGCAGGATCAGATCAGCTCTGTCCTACACGTGTTTATCCTGGTGTATGGGAACTTCCGTTAAACCAATTTGTAGCAGGTGTAAGTAATCATTGTAAATTAAGAAATTTTAAAGAACCATTGATTAAATAATAAATATACACATTACATTAGGAATACACTTGTGCAGCAATGGATTCTTGTTCATCTAATTTATCAGGTGAAGATGTTTATGAAATGTTAATGTTAAATTTCAAAAGACATTACCTTAGCAATCGTGCGCCTATGGGTCTTCATTTCCATACATCATGGTTCCAAACTTCAACATATTTTCATGCTTTTAATGTAAGATATTCTTCAAGTTCTATTGTATGCCTTCATAAATTCTATATGTTAAATATATGTTCATCGATGTTGTTATATGTATATTTAGAAATTTTTGGAAGATGTACTTCGACTACCTGACGTCTATTTTGTAACAAGTCAACAAGTTATAAAATGGATGCGTTCTCCAACATCCATAGATCAACTTCACAAATTTGAATCATGGCAATGCAATGAACGTCAATTTGAAAAATTTGAAATTGCATGCGATGTACCTACAACTTGTTCACTTCCTAGTAAAATATTGAAGTCTTACAGAGATTTATACACTTGTTTTGAATGCCCAAAAGAATATCCATGGTTAAGAAATGAATTTGGACAAGATTAAACGTATTAGAATGTATAATACATATATCATCAGACATATTTTGGGAAGTTGTTGTTTAATATAGTTGTACTATATTTAATATAACCATAAGACTGTTATTTATTTAAAAGGAAAACTATAAAAGATATATTTTAATAAAAAGATTGCTTTTTATATTTTTTACGTAAAATAGTTTTGTACATAATGAAAAACAAAAAATATTTCTTTTCTTACCAAATCTATATTAAATGTTATTGTTGTTGAATAATAAAACATCCTTCTGTTTTAGAAAATTATATAAATTGATTTATATATATATATATATATATATATATATATATATACACATACACACAACACATACATGTGCGTGTGTGGGTGTGTATATATATATATATATATTGATTAATATTTAACCTTCCTGTTGTATAAATGGATTTTGTATAGATTCCATGCCATCAACTGGACAAATAAGAACCACTGAAGTTCCTCTACAGACTGTTAAACCCAACATACGTGTATCTTGGTTTAATTTGTAAGGATCATCAGGATCTATTCAATGAATTAAAAAAAATTTGTTATTTTTTAACTAGTCATATAGATTACTTATATCATAAAAAAATATTTAATACTTTTAATATGATACTAACCCCTGAGATATTCAGTAGTATTGTCAAGTACTAAGTTCAAGAGAGGATCATAACCTTTCAAAATACCTGCTGCCTCTCTCCCTCCGGCAAATTTGACTCGGATATTTTTTTCAAGATATTTAGATAAATCAAGAATACTTTCTTTCCTTTTCTTCTCCTTATGATCTCCATGCGCGTTTTGTTGCTGCAAAAACGTATTTTGAAAATACCGGAAAATACAAGGTTATATTATAATAATTTTACCTGTTTAATCGTCTGAAAGAAGATAGTGAAGATATATTATGAATTAAGATATTTGCATTATCTTCAAAGGATTTAAAAAGAATTATATTTTTATAAACTTACCGACATTTTCAGGATAAATTAAAGTAAACGAAAGAGCGTAGGAATTATTTCTTTACCGCCTAGAATTCAGCGAAGCAACAGCATGTTACAAGCCTTCTCATTCGTCCCCACAATGCAGATTCGAGAATTGAAATAAAAGTTATTGTTAGTCGTATTAAAATTTTAAACAATAATAAAATACATTTTTGTAAAGTAACGTACAATACAAATGATTTTTAATATTTTTATTATTTTAAAAGTTCTTAAATAAATATTGTCAGTGTTTTTGAGAAATAAACTTTTTTACAATGGGCAGAAATATTTTTATAATTGCACTGAATTATAATTCATCGTTTGAAAAATATATAATAATGCATTATTCAAAAATATAAGTATTTAATTATTACCTCAATATCAATATTTAAGTAAAATATTTTATTTTTATATAAGAACATTTAAGAGAGATCATTTAATGTATTTTTAAAAAATGGTTGCTTTTGTAAACACATGTATCAATATACTATCCATATGAATTTGTGTATCATCGTTGTTGCACATGAATATATATATATCCATTTACTTACGCATAATTAAATGCTTGAAAAATATCAGGTTCATTGTAGTAAAACAATTTCGTAAAAGCTTGTATTTATTCATATTTGACATTATAAAAAAATACATGTTAATACATGATGTGTATATGAATGATGCAATATAGTAAAAGTGTTTGTTGGGATAATTTTAAGTATTTTATAATTGCTTTTTAACGAATGTTCATTACAATTTATGATAATATCTTCAATTTGCAAATGGCACAATATGGAAACACTTCTATTCTTTTGTTTATATCGATCACTTTTTGCATACATTTGACATTATTTAAATAAAAGTGTACAATCTGTACATTATGATCTTGTGCTTGCTAGTAGTCACTGATAATATAATGAGTTTTCTCATTACTACTGACGGAATTAATATTGTACGTTAACTTTTGAATGATACTTATCATTGCTTTTTTCTCACTTGCACCTTATTATTATATTGTCCTGAACTTTGTTCTGGCTGGCTGCATGGATGGACATTGTATTGCTACAATTAAAATGTACTAGCATTGCCAAGAATTTAGCTTCAAAACAAAGTAGCTTATATCTTAATTTCCTTGTTTTTTATAAAATAAGTTTCGATGTATTGTTTGTATATTGGCAAAAAAATTTATGTAGTAAATATTGACTATTCAAAATCTACTATTATAACATACATTAGACTGCGTAGTTTTGAATTGTATAACTTGCTATATGAAGAGCATTTGTCGAAAAGAAAAAAGAATTTTATATATCTGTCATACAGCAATGATAACATTGCATCACTATCATTTGCTTTGGTATGATATAGATAATATCTTGTTAATGAAGCTAGTAGATAAATGTTACGAGTACTAAAATAATTTCCTGCATAACATTATATAACAACATTTTTTTCCAGCCACATTAAAAAATATGTAATTAAATGTTTTGGGCATGGATGATTGAACATTAATTATGAGCGTTTTATGTTGTTCTTTAAATTAATCAAAAATATCGTCATGTAGCTTGACGGCTTTCTTCTTGTTCTGAAAGTAGTGGAATACCAGTTAAATGTTCACCATTATTATTTTCCGTTTCATCCTGCTCCGATAGCAAAGGAACTATTTGTTGATTGTTATTATCTGTTTCTGATGGCCGTCTGCTTTGTCCTGGTAAAAAGGACATAGGTATTGTACCGGATGGAGTCGTAGGCGCTGATCGTGATAGCCACCGCTTCGTTTTATTTCTTGAATTTGGCAGTCCTAGTGGCATATACATTTTTCCACGCATTCTTCTTGTTCTATATGATCCAACATCGTTTGGACTTAAAGGCCGTTGCTGTATAGTACCATTTACATTTGAATGCAGAAGTTGAGGATGGTTTTGAGAAGGCAAAAGTGTGGTATGTCCATTAGGTAATTGTGGAAGCTGTTGAATTTTGTCTAGCAACTCGCGTAGCTACAATATTACAAATAGATTTAGATAATGATGTTATTAAAGTAATTATCAAATAATATAAATTCTAAAGAAATAACAAAAACTACTTTATAAGAATATGAAACTGTAATTACCTCTATTGTAGGACTAGTAGCCCTTGGCGGTGAACATGGTGATTGAGCTGCTAAACTCGATATGTCTGATGTTGTTCTATGATTAGCCAATGAAACAACTGATACAACATCTCCATTTTCTTCTCTTTCACATTCAACTGCTGATAATTCATCAACACTGTTGTTACAAGAGTACGGTGGTGGAATTATAGTGTTTGCTTCGTTTACAACATTGCACATAAAACTTGAACTCAAAGAATCCAATGTGCTTGCATGAGATAAAGATCTAAAATACCGCATTACAAATCCTGATGTTCCCTTTCCATTACTTTCATCATATCCAATTACTAATGGATACAAATCTGGTTTTGCAGTAACCTGTGCAATGATATAAAAATATTAGTAAACCTAACAATATAGAAGCAATAGTTCCATTTAAAAGAAAAAATAATATACTTCATTATAAGGAGGTGGTAATGCTTGCACAAAAGAACTGCAACGACTATATTGTGGTGGTGGATACCAAGGAGCTGTAGATGCTCTGTCAGAAGAACCACAGTCTTCTATTATGGTAGAGCGACGTCGTTTCCATAGCCAGCAGCCAAAAATCGCTGCTAAGGCTAAACCTGAAAGTACTGCTGCCCTGAAAATAACAGAAAAATAAAATATTGAAAATTAAATTTTTCTTAATTTTTTTTTAGAAATAAAAAAGAATTTATTTTACATACCATAAATACCAGTAGGTCCAAATCAGAAAATTAATCATCCCTGACAAATGAGAGTGCACTTGCGGAAATACTCCGTAACAACAGCCGAAAGAACAGCAGTATTTTGGAGGAGAGCAACTAAAAGATGATATATCATTTACTATAAATTTGTTTTGCATATTTCAATAAATTATATAAACGATATTTCATATTACAACTTACACATGCCCCCCATCGCATAGTTTAGAAGAAGCCTTGAAAGATAAAATAAAAATTATTGATTTTTGCTATATATATATACAGAATTTCTTTTATTTAAATATAAAGATATGTTTATATCATACATTATAATGTAATTATCTAACACAATGTATTAAATCAATATAAAACATTCTCAGCATTGAATTTGATCGTTATTTCGCCTCTGTTGCGATGAAGTTTTTTAATAAACAATCTCGAGAGTTCGCCCCTAATTCTTTTGATATTCCGTCGTATGAATCAAGCCAAAACAATGAACAGACAATCGAGGAAGTATCGTTCTCTTGAACGTAATAAAGAGAACTTACGTATGAATGAAAAGTACATCGAGTAAGAGTTCATTGTCTAGTAGAACTGTGCGTGAAACCGACGTATTGATCGACGTCAAGTCGAAGGGAATACGATACGAGAGGAGACTCGTGTGTGAGGATATGCACTAAGTTCCTACAAATCTATAGCATGTAACAGCGTTATATGTTTTGGCTGCATCATTATGGAACACTGCGCTGTTCTTACTTGATCAACGAACAGTAGTGTCAGGAGTATGGTCGGAACAAGTACATCAAACACGCGGCCTGCAGCTTGCACCATAATTCTAACACAGACTGCACGCCGTCGCGCTTCGATATATGCGTTTATATATATATATATATATATATATATCACTATCCTTTATGTATATATGTAACGCATAATTGCAGAATTAAATATATTCCAATAATATTACACGCGCACGGTGTTTCAGCAAGCACTTTTTCTTTGAATCTTAAATTTCTTTAAATAACATATATCGATAATGCTTGTTCATTAATTTATAAAATTCTTTCATTTGAAAACAAACAATTGTTCCTTAAAATATAATAATATATTTATTTCAGAGAAGAGAATATCCTATGAGTAAATACCAGTATGAACAATGTTAATATAACAATCTCAGAAGAATCTTTTTGAAGTATTCAAAAATAAAGAAAAAAAAAGAAAAGAAACGACGCGAATTTTTTTAAAATTAGCTCGTTGCGAGAAATGCAATGATTGGTGAGATGGTTAATAATTTGATTACGTTATATCCGTTTCAGCGTCGGCATATCTGATTGGTTGCTGTGTTTTGTTACACGACCAACGTCTTCCATACCGTCGTCGTTGGACATCGTAATCGTTCGCTGCTCGCAGTAATGCGGCGTGAGTGCGTGGATACGTACATAGGTCGATTTGCGCATGAGAACAAGATATCATGCCATTCGCTGTGAAAAAAGGGCGCGCTTACGAAATGTGACACATTTCGTGTGAATACAAATGAAATCGTATTATGAAGATATCAACGTGACTGATCATCAGATTTCTTTGCGATTTGCCAATGAGGATCGAATTTAACGACGTCATGATTTTCTTTGGTGCGACTAGAAGATGGTATTATCTTCGAGAAAGATGAGTTTTTTGTGAGAAACAAAAAGTGAGTCGAATTAGTTATTTTGCATTCTCAAAGAGAAAAAAAGAAATATTTACGATCATTAAATATTTTGTTTTGAAACGATGTTTTCTCTATATATTTAAATATGCATATAATGATTTTATTCAGTGATCATCATCGACGGCATATATATTCACTTAAACATTTTGATTATATATATATAATACATAATTAACTATAAACTAAATATATATACAGATATGATTAATCAAATTTAGAAAGAAATATGGTGTTAGTTACGTTAAATATTTATGCTAGTTATAAATATATTTATTTATTTAAAATACGTATTCATGTTTAAAAGTCTAATTTTTATAAATCAATTCTGAATCATTAGGTCAGAACTTGTTCTAAATTAGCTTTTTTTTCTTCGATTGTATGAAAAAATATTTATCGACATGTTGGAGTATAATAGTTGTCATATAGTATATAGAAGCAAATACGAGTATGACCCGTTTTATTTCATTCTATCGATAATACCCGGCTCGTTCCGCGACTTTAGTCAAGCTATCATTTTCGCTTATTTTTTTTTCTTTACAAACTAATATCTATTTTCTTTTTCTTTTCCTTCATTATTTTCTTTTTTTTCTTAATAACGTACTTACACGTATATTTCTAGAAGACTTGTTCCTTTTCCCCGTGTCATTAATTCGTCAGCATACTTCCGTGAGATAATAATGTTTCGTGATTGTGGTTCTAGTTCAGTGTAATCGACAATGGAGTAAACTTCCTCGCTTATAAACAACGTCACTAAAAACGATTTGTTTCGATACATAATAAGTAACACGTTATATTAATATAATAATGCAAAATATTCTTACGAAATATATCCCATCCTTTCCTATGTGAAATTTTGTTTCATTGATCCGACCATTTAATTGAATTGTGTAATTCATTGGATCGTGAGACCATTTAACTCGATCAATATATATATATATATATATATATATATATATCAATATATATATATATATATATTGATTGAGTATATATATATATATATATATATATAGAGAGAGAGAGAGAGAGAGAGAAGTAACACAAGAATTTCACGATAATCGATAATCGAAAAACTATCACTAATGACATACACGATGATGATAAAATTGTATTTAATAAATTTTGTAATGACGGAAGTTTAACTTCGCATTTTTAATCTAATATAATAAATATAATAAATATAATCCGTGATATTTTTTTACACATTACCAAAGAATTATCGAATAAAGATCTATATAAAAAAAAAAGAGAATGCAACATTTTTTATGACGATATTTCATTTATAGGATCGCGTGAGTATTATGGATAGTAAGGTAGACGCATTGCTGCCAGGTGTAAAATAAAAGCGGGAGTAACCCTCCAGTTTCAAAGTGCGTCCGAGCAGAACGCAACTCGGGCTTTTTTATCTCTCTCTCTCTCTCTCTCTCTCTCTCTCTCTCTCTCTTTCTCTCTTTCTCTCTTTCTATTTTTTTTTCTCTCTCTCTCTCTTTCTCTCTTTCTCTTTCTCTCTCTCTCTCTTTCACTCTCTCTTTTTCTCTCTTCACAATGTCAGCTGGCCCAGTCGTTTGTTAGTTTTTTTATGTTTCGTCGACTGGAACGTCGCACGGTATAACTCTCATCAGACATATTGGTTATTACCATAAGAATTTTTCTTCTGCGTTGTCCCCACTTTCTCTCTTTCTCTTCCTCTTTCTTCTTTCCTTCTTGATAATGAACTACATCCGACGATTTTTCTATAGAATTAACATATTTTTATACATACTGAGGCAAAATGAAAGAAATACTATTCTTATATATCTTTCTATGTAAAAAGAATGTAACAACGATCTCGTATTTGATTGGACAAATAAGTTCAATAATAAAAATAAAACAAAGAAGTGTACGAATAATGCTCCAGGAACATTGGAAGAAAATAAGATGCTATTTAAGATAATGTTCGACTGGTCGGAACTTATTATTATATGAATGTAAACCTGTGTGTGAGCAGGCCCTTTAAAAAGTACAATAAAAGCCTCGTAGTATAAAAAATTATCAATGTTTCAACCATGAAATTATTACGAGGACAAAGGTTTTTATCTCTTTTCTTCTCTTTTCTTTATTTCCTTTTTTTTTTTTTCCCCTATCTCTTTCTCTATCTTCTTGTTTGCGAACACACAAGAAGTTATAAATTTTATGATTTATTTACTTTGTTTGTAGTCAACATACAGAAAGTAAAAAGAGATAAAGTAAGGGTTATTTGAGAGATATCCGTAGAAGAACGCCGGGTTATTATAACCGACCGAATGACTTACGGTTGTGTGTATGCCAGTGACGTGTAGTCATCGTTCAATGGTTGATGGCGATAGCCCTTTGCTTGGACCCTATACTTAGTGGATAATCGACTCAATATACTGCACTTATTAGCGTTATAATAAGCTTTATGTCGAATCCAAAGAATTTTCAAGGTTCCCTCTTTCGCTTCGTAAGTAGTAGCCCTTTGTTGTCTTTTTCCTCCTCCTATAAATCATTTTTGGTTAATATTCATGAAGATGGTAATGCCCATTACAAATACTTGTTTACACTCATCTCGGACAAATTTATCTATAGAATTTACGTGAACATAAATTATAGATGTTATGTTTATTCGATTCATGATTGGCTAATCTATTATCTTGTTTAAGTTAGTCGTGTATTGTGATTAGATAATTATTTCTTTTTTTCTTCGATGACAAAACGAAGATTTGTCGATTTTCTTATAATAATCATTTAAAAAGTATATAAAAAATAAGAAGTCTTGAAATTCGAAATAGTTAGAGATAATCTCATCGGGGGATGTAGCTCAGTGGTAGAGCGTTCGCTTTGCATGTGAAAGGCCCCGGGTTCGATCCCCGGCATCTCCAAGTTTTTTTTATTTTTTCTATATTCAAGTGTCGAAAAAATTTCGATTGACGATTGATATACGTCACACTTGTTTTTTTTTTTTTTAACAATATAATTCTTTTTACTTGTTCATCAGGAAGATAGTTTAGTATTAACACGTGTAATATTATGTATTGTGATAAAAAGAAGTGAACCATTAAATAATTATGGTTTTTTCTTAAATGATTCTATTTTTTTTATTTTTTTTATTTTTTTTTCTTTTCTTTTCTTTTTTCTTTTTTAAGTTCCTTCAATATGTTACATTTTAGTAATGTCAAATGCCTGTAAAAATTTCTTTTACGAATTGATGATACAACGGCATATGGTACGACACGTGCTGCGAAATAACAACCGGGTTTGCTCATACGTAGTGGAAAAGTAATACATAGTGCAAGGGGAGGAACGATCGGATAGGGTTAGTCTCTAGACTCTATTTTTGTGGAGGAAGGGTTCACTTATATATCTATGTACGTTCGTATATATGTAAAGTATACTTAACGCACTTGTAGCCGACTATGCATCACGTATAACATTGTAGTGTCTCATTGAAACTGCAGAAACGAAATACTTTCTTAATTAATCACCATTTGACCAATTATGGAAAACATTGGACCGGAACGAATTCGAGTATTGTAAAATACCCTTTACAATAGACTCTTTAGTTTAATAATATTTATTTTCTATTAGATGAATCTGATAAATATTATGTTAGTTCTCGTTAACGTTTAGTTTTGTTGTGACATGATGCATTAATATAGTTTTAATGAGATTATCGTATCAATTAATTGCCTTCGTTGGAATGTTTTAGATTGACAGAGCACTTTTGATTGAGATAAATCATAGAATATAATTACAACAGTGGCTAGTTTTTTCCTTAACATTTTTATTAACGTCGATTGAAATAATTCGTTTGGATTTTATTTAATTTGAGAAAGAAACAAAAAGAAATATTTCTTTTCTTTTTAATTGTTCGACGTGTCATTACACATGAATGATATAGTTTATTTCGAGCATAAAGAGAGAAGGCAACCATAGAAGTATAATGAGAACAAATTATCTGTCGCTTCGGTTAACTTATTGGCGCCTACGATTACCTCTCCTCGTGGCTCACATTCCGTTTGATATCTTCTGGTGAATTAACGAAGAATCAAATTCCCTTTTTCTGTTTAATTCGTTTATGCATATTTACATTTTCCCTTATTTAAACGAAAGATAATTAATTGCAATCATAACAGGAGATGTAAAGAAAAAAAAAATAAAAAGGAAAAGAAATGCTTGGAAGATTTCTTCAATAACAAAAGCGGATCTTCACCTTTGTGAAGGTATGCCATGGAAAAGTTCTTTGTTAACTACATTGAAATGCTAGTTGAGTGCACAATCCTGTTACTAATGTGCAGTGCGTCATCTCGAAATATCTTTCTAAGAATGCTATTGGGTTGTACCTTGCGGACTTATAAAATTAATTGAATTTACGATGATCATTATAAATTTCTAATCAAACATATCGAACTTATTGAAGAAATAAATATACGTGTATATTTATTACATATAATAATATCGAATGACGATGAATGAATAATTGAAAATACATTTAAAATTCGTTTTCTTTTCAAACGAAATTCTTCATGGTTGGACTAAGGTTGTAAAAGATCTACGCCAACCGATGACGTCAGATGCTTGCTTGGGATCAATCGGAAAGTCAAGTCGCGATAATTGCAACAATCGCGCGGATATATTACGAGCGGACTCATTGCTCATTCACTTTTAGTTGATTCATGTCTGGTTTTTTTTCTTTTTCTCCTTTCTCTCTTTTATGTAATGCACCTTAAAATACATTTTCATAAACAAATTTTACTTTGACAGAAATTGACAGGACAAGCTAATGAACAAATAGGATTGTTAAAATTGCAGATGCATCATGACGCAATATTAATCCATTTAACGATCATAAAGATCATCGTGGGAGCGTCAAACTTTTTCAATACCCACATTCGATGAACGTTTCATTGGTATTTCGAATCGAGTTAGTAAAGAGAAGAAAAATTAATCGTTTAACGGGGACACAATAATTGGCAAACCGACGGTTAACGTAGCTCGCTAAATCATTAATTATCTCTGGAAGCGAACCTTTTACCCTTGTGAAATACGTATAAACTTATACGATTCTGACTGATCGAAGTGTTCTATAAAATGTAATAAATAAAACATCCGTAGACAAGCGCGACATTTTAAACTCGCTGAGTATATTGAATCGATACATACTTTTCTTTTTATGCTTTACCTTCGAGTTTTGCATTAAGAATTATGGATCTTGATCGAGTTACTCGAGGAAAATCAATTCGTTCCTTCGATAAAATTAATCTAGGAAACTGAACGAATTGGTTTCTTTATTTCAGATGGAGAATCAAGGCTTCGAAGGAGAGCAATATCGCAATAACGGAAGCAGTTATTTTATTCACACAGATTCCGCGATACATCCTGACGTTCACGTTTACGAGGACATCGGTCCAAGTCGTGAAGAATTCTGTAGAATTTCTTCCGGTTTCCTCGAAGAGTCAGCTCGTTCGAAAGTCGAACAGAATGGTCGTTCATTTATAACTTCGAACTTTAAGAACGACGCGACTGAAAGAATTCGATCGGAATCTTCTCAGTCGATTTATTTCCAACGAAATTTAACGTTGCCTTTTCGCCGAGGACTTTTATCGTCAACTTCGTCTCCTTCGACGAGTTACTCCATATGGGAAAAGAGATGGAAAAGTAGTAAAGAAAAGAAAGATCGTTCGTTAGAAAGAAATCTTTCTGATAATCCACGTTCACGGGAGGATAATGGGAATAAAAATAATGCATTATCGAGATTGCGAGAAGAAGATCATGTCAGGGCAAGCGAAAAATGCAGGAGGAAGGACTATAAATATTGTAAAAATAAAGGTAATTCTGTGAATTCTGAGAGTCAGGAGAAGATAAACGCGAATGATGAGAAAGGTAAAGAATCATCATGCTCGTGTCTATCGAACGAAACAATCCTTTTCCAACACAGTGACAAGTTCCTTCCGCTTTGTCACTCATTGTGCAAGACTACCGAAGAATCCACGGAGTTTACGAGACAAAATTCTTCTTCCATTGCGATATTTTCGATCTCAGAGAAGGTTCAACAGCAAAAGCAAGAGCAATATCATCATCGTCATCATCACGAACAGCAGCACTTACCATCGAGAGCACTCGAATACCTGCAGTACGATAGAAACGACGTTGAAACGAAGCTCGCTCACGTGTTGGAAACTAACGAAGATAAGACGCTCATTATATCAAAGAGAAGTCAACCAAATATGAGAATAAATTCGATTTACACACAAGATCATTGGTATGCTAAGGAAGCTTCAATATTTTTCACGGATCTTAAGGAATCAAGTACTTTTCAGGTGAGCGAGATATCTTAATTTCGTTGAAGAATTTTTATAAAATTTACATTTATTATTGACTTATTTATAAATTCTTCATATCTCTTTTAATGGTCTCTTTATATTAGCTTATATTTTTAAAAGTAACTATCGATTGTCGTTGATAAAACAGTTTAATAAAGTCAATTAACTGTAGAAAACAAAATAGAAAAGTGGACAGGTAAAAATGCAACCATTTCAACATATGGAAGTGTTCCCAACTAATGCACCATTTCTGTAGAAACTTGGAATTAGTTCGACAATTCACCGCCGTGTGGCGCAAAGTGGATATGTCATTCTCGAAAGCAAAATGGTTTCTATATGGAATAAGTTCTAGCTTGTCGGGAAGCAAAGCATACTTACCTGGCGCAGAGGTTACCGTGATCAAGAAGGCGGTTCCTCCAGGGCGAGGCTTTTCCATTGCACTTCGGTTAGGCTGACCCTTGCGAATATCCCTAATGTGGATATCTCGGGCGTATAATTTTTGGTAGTCGGGACTGCGTTCGCGCTGTCCCGGATAATAAAATATCTAAAAATAATCATTGAACTTCAAGAAAAAGGCTACCAAACGACAGACGGATCTAGTATATGTAATATCAACTATATATTTATGGTCTTTATGGCATTTTCTTCAGATTTTTTAATAGAGTTCAAAAATCTCTCTTATTATACATGAACCTTTCTTCTTGGTAATAAGAGGAAAAGTTCGGGTTATTCATTTTATTTCTTCCTTGAATTAGATCCCGTATAGTAGTATACTAGTAGCTATATTTATACTTCGGACTTCTCGCATGGCAAAAAGCGGGGTTAATTAATTGCAGTTTTGAAAGCTATCTCTCTATGCCTACTACTTATTACTTTCTTGATCATCGCACAAAGCTGACTCTGTGCTTTTATGAATTGACGCTCTGTTATTATCGATAACAAATTACGGTTAGTAATATACTTGGATAATTCTTTTCAATCATCTTTGGTTATTAATGAACAGTATGCAGTATTTTTAGAGTGTTTTATATTTAATCAAGATATCTCCTTTCCCGTTTACATTTCTTGAGGATAGATTAGTTTTAGTATGAATAACGAAGAGATTTAAGGGTCTCGTGGCTTCTATGTCACGTGTTACGAGAATTGCATTTAGTGCATTACCATCAAGCACAAAAGTGGTTCATAGTGTTACATCAGTATTGCACACGTGCATGGTTCTCGTGCCAAGTCTTACTAATGGCACAGCAGGAGATTTTCTGGAAGGCTTGTCGAGCTTTGATAAACAAATTATTATCTGCCATTTAATTGCCATCCTCAAAGCCATTTCTCGCGTATTAAGGACGTCTAGAAGACGAAATCACCTATTATTTATTAATTATCACCTATTACTTATTTACATAATTAACCTATGTTTTTTGGACAATGTCCATGTAACATGCTGATTATAATAATTAGTAATGTCCATACTTAATTAATTAATGAAGAAAAATATAAAATCATTAGACATACGTGTATATCAGTTTCGATAAAAAAGATTGGTAAACAAATTGAGTTAAAGAAAAATAAAAACAATAAAAAATAAATATATATATATATATAAATAGGTATTATCCTATAAAGTCAATGCCGTGTGCTTGCACGGTTTCAGTCTGTAAAACTTACACGCGACAGCCATCCGGTCGATTCTTGACCGAAGAAGATGTGGCCGCTTTAGACTGCTCTTTGCTCGCAAAGAAACGAAACGGAGCGGAAGTGGAAAATATCTATCTATAGCCAGACAGAAGTGTGGGCTGTGCGTCTGGCGCTCCAAAAGTGCGTCGGCTCATCGACGGCGGTGCAAAACTTAAATGTCCATCGGCTCGCTCGTATACATTTTATACGATGTTGAAAGTGTTAATCGAAGTTTGGAAATACTTGGCCGATCTCAATAATCAAGAAACGATCTAAAAAAAAAAAATAAAAAAGCAAAAGAAAGATCTAAAAAAACAAGTGTAATCTTTGTCAAAATATCGTGTGAATTTGTAGTTGGGGAAAGAATGCAGTATCGATGGCCGAGCTCAAGGTGCAATATATATACATATATTTGTATTTTGGTATTATACATATTATACAAGTTTTGATTTATATGTTTTATAATAATACTATTTCGTCATTCACATTAATTTATTAATTCATATATATATATATATATATATATATATATATATATATATATATTTGTATTGCGATATTATACATATTATACAAGTTTTGGTTTATATGTTTTATAATAATATTGTTTCATCATTCACATTAATTCATTAATTCATTCGTTATTTAATTTTTTCCCTTTTTTATTATTTCAGAGGGCTTATTCCCTCCCAGTACGAATGCAAACTCCTACTTCGCAAAATCGGGTTAACTTGCGAAAAAGCGTCCGTGGCGAACCACCACCGGATCCAGCAAGACTTCACAAAAATCATCGCGGATGGACGTTACATCTTGCACGACCACTCGAAGGATCTGGCTGCAATAGATCTTTGATCTTCTTATTGGTCCTTTTATTGATACTTCTCGGAGTAGGCGCTGGTGCTCTTTATATCGTCTTCGGTTAGTTCGATTATCTTCTAGTAAATACATTATTTTGTTATTAACACGTACTTACGTCAAACGACAAGAATGCTCTTCTTATTGATCGGCATGCGTTATTAATGTCTTCTATACTTAAAAGAAAGAAAAAAAAAAGAAAAGAAACAAAAAGATAAAGAAGATATATGGTAAGTCCACGCTGTGATTCGACGAAGCGTACCAATTGCTCGTACGAGATGAATTTAACCGCTGGGTCAACAGAACATTTCCTTTAACTACCTCTCCTCTTGTTTGTTTCCTTTTTTTTCGTCTTGAACGCGTGATCAAATTAAAGTACAGTCAGCCAAAAATATATATTAGATATTTATTTCTTAACTTTGTCATATATATATTCCGAAAAATTTTTAATTTATATCTTAAAGAATAACATATTTTAACTTTTTTTCTCGATTATACTTTTAGAACCGCAAAAACTACAAATTATTCAACTTTATCTGAAATCGTCGAATGGAAACTCATCGATGCAAAACGTCACGTCCGAGGAGTCTTTCAATCAGGTTTTCTTAAACGAATCGAAGAACGTGCCGATGAGAACACCAACGACGAGTACCATTCACATGACCGATGTATTTTTAAATGTCGACCTGTCGTTCTCCGATGATACTCCATCGCTGATCACGAAAACGGAAACGGAAGCATCGAACATTGTGCATGCGAATACTAATTCGACGAGATATTGCGATGATTGCTTGAGTGGAGAGGTCTGCGTTGGTTTGGTAGATGAAGAAGTGCCTATTTGTAGAATCGGTTTGGATCCTGAAGATCCAACAGGATGTGCTGGTCTGTGTATTATCAACAAGCAAAGATGTCATCGTCTTGACATCGACGCTTTTAGGTACACATAAAAAAAAAATTTTTCGAAATTAAACATTTTTTTAATTTGATCGTTAATTTAACTAAGAAAAAATATACACGTCGATCTATTTCTATTTTTATACATATTTTCTTTTTTTTAATTTTTTTTTGTATTTTTTTTTATTTTCTATTTCTTTTCAAAGGTGCGTAGAGATAGAGCACTACTGTCTAAACGATGAGTGGACTTGCGTGAATACACTTTGTATTCCTATGGAAAAACGTTGCGACGGTCATATGAACTGTTACGATCACTCTGATGAGTACAATTGCGGTGGGTATAATAAGATATAGCATTGATTTAAACTTGAATATTTCTCTGTTTCATTTGAAAACGTACCGTATTTTACCGTATTACCCCAGTTTCCTTGTGATCTACAAATTTGTCTACTTAACGGCTTGCCTAGTTTTACATTGTTGCTTTGCGAGGCTTCTGCTCTTCCTATCTTTCATTCCTATGATTCGTCTTATTATAAAATATTACGATATTATTTTCAATTTTTTATGTGATATTTTTTTTTAGATTGCAATTCAGAGACGCATTTTCAGTGCGGCAACGATACTTCTTGCCTACCATTGGAAAGGAGATGCGATGGTAGAATAGATTGTTGGGATGCTAGCGATGAAATTAATTGCACCTTAGGTAAGTAATTTTTTTTAATTCATCGTATATGAAAGTATATAAATATATATATATATATATATATATATATATATATATATGTATGTGTATATATATACATATGATAGATTGTATGCACAAGTTGGCTTTTTTTACGGAGCTTAATTTGGAAATTCGACAAAAATGATAATATGTAATCATCAAACTCTCAGATTAGTACTTCGTATAATCACATGTAAGAATAAACGCTTGCGTAGTTTTGTATATAATTAGTATCAACGATGTGTAACATTGTTGTTACGATATTCGTTATGTTATATCTCGTTATTCTATTGAAATATAATTTTTTTATCGTGTCAAAATAATTGTATACTTCTGATTAGTTATATATATATATATATATATATATATATATATATATACACATATATACATACATACATATATATATATATATATATTTACAATATATATATATAATTTTTTTTGTATAGTATATATACATCTTTCACTATGTTTTTTGTTTTCTTCTTCGTAGGTCATAATTTTGGTCGGTGTGAGTACATATCGGTATCTTGAATGCACGAAAACTTTCACATGTAAATCAATGTAGCACTTGATATAACATTGATATTTAGCTTTTTTTTTTGCTTGATCCTATTTAACGGCGATCTAAAGTATAAAATAACATCATGATTAGATATTTATTTATTATATCATTCAATGATAATTAACAAGTAATATTCCTCTTAGCTTGCCCATTGGAAAGCGAATTTACGTGCAGTAACGGGCAATGTATATTAAGGGCTCGATTTTGCGATGGATTGGTCGATTGTGCCGATGGATCGGATGAGCCACATGGATGCGAGGGTCGATGCAATAAGCATGAATTCACATGCCAGTAAATTTATATCTCGTTTGTTTATAAAAAAAAATTTTCTTCTATATCCCACACAGTTCTTATCTAAGTTTTATATTTTTTTCAGAAATAATAGATGCATTGCAAAAGGTGCAAAATGTAATGGAATAGATGATTGCGGAGACTATAGTGATGAAAGACATTGCAAAGATCATGTTATGTAGCATTTATAAATCATGAGAAAAGTTACAATGAACAAGAAAAAGTTATGATAGATATACAGTATTTTATATACAAATAATTATATATGTATGTAACGTGTATATATATACACACACACGTCTTGTATAGATAGTATAATAATCTTGAACGGATAATGAATATTATTAAATAAAAGAGTACTAATTACTTCACAATAAGTTTATTTGTAAATTCCAATTTTTACATAAGAGACTAATTATTTCATATTTGTCATTATTACATAAATATAATCAGGAATATTTGTATTATGCATGTATTGCAAAAAAAATATTTATTTAATCAGTTGTTTTAATTTTAAAAATATATGATCAGAATCATAATCATAATTTTGTTCTATGTATTTATATATTATTACCAATGATTAAAACATTAAATACTGGTACTTCCGTATGTGCTATATTATTAATATTTAAGCATTTTTTAATACAAGATGCTTTATAAATTTTCGAAGCCTGATTAAATAAGCTTCTCGTGTTAATGTATTTTACTATAATTCTTAATATCGTTATTATATATACAGACATTAAATATGCACACTTGCATGTGGATGTTTCATTGTTGAACAAGTGAACCCCTTATAAAAATTCGTCTGGTTCACGTGGGGCATCAAGGTCTCGATAATGAATGACAGGTCGGAAATCTCCTCCACCGCCACTGTAATAGTGAGTATTAGTTTAGTCATTTAATTATAAATAAATAAAAACTGTAGAATGTAGCATAGAAATTTATGTTGTAATAGCAATATATATATATATATATATGTGTGTGTGTGTGTGTGTGTATATATATATGATTATATTTGTATTTCGATGACCAACCAGCATAGGATACAAATGGAAATGGGTTTAGAATAAAATCACAAATAATTAGTAACAAATAATTTTATTTTGTTGGTCACATATAGTTACAGCATCGATTGATCCTAGTATTCATTTGAAGTAAATAAAAATTTTGTAATTTATTTTCTTCACTTGGAAAAATAAACATATATATATTGTATATATATATACATATTTTTACGAATATTTGGATCTCGATGCATTTTTAAAATAAGAGTAAATAAAAATATAAAAAAAAATAGTTGTGCTGATTTTGTAACACATTAGTTTTACAAATGAATTTATACTGAGAATTGCAAATGGCAGTGAACAATTTTTGTATTTCTATTCTCTTTTTTCTTTTTTTTTTAGCGATATTGTGTTACATAATCCAGATATAAATCTGTTGGCACAAAAGACCAGACATTTTAAAAAATTTTATTTTATTAATGCAAGAATCAAATGAAATTAAATAAACTTAGAAAATGTCCATGTCCATCTAGTCCAAGTCATTATAATTAATAATAGTTCTTGAAGTTGAATCTGCGGCGACCCTGGAAACATTGTTTTTACTTTTTTCAAAATGTTCCTATTTTGATTGAATTAAAATATCACCTGAATATATACTATATTTAATACGTAAATATATATTATATTTAAGTGTTTCATTTATTCGACATAATATTTTTTAATACATTGCGCAAATGCTATATATAGGAGAAAGAGATTAAAAAGATTTGCGAGTTAGAAATATAAAACAGGACAACATACAAAAATATCGAAAAATGAGGAAATGCGTATAATAGAGAAATTCATGTCTTACCTTCCTCTGTTAAAACCACCACGACTGGGACGAGGCATTCCAAATCCCCCGCCAAATCCGCCACCGTAGCCGGAGCCATAACCTCCTCTGCCTCCTCCGTAACCAGCTCCATAACTTCCAAATCTGAAGACAAAGAATAAAGGAATTTCAAGATATATAATATGCTTATAATTTTTTTAACATTACAGTTATTACGATATAAGTGTCACTTCAATTTTACTTACGTTGTACAACCGTATGGATTAAAACCTTCACGTGGTCCTTCCCTAGGCGATACTTTATTGCCAGGATGTTCTGGAAGCTGTGGTCGTTTTGGATCTTTCAGATAATTATTAAAATATTCTGCTTCAGTCATAACTTCGTTAACTTTCTCTGCGTGTTTATTGAATATATGTTTACGGATAAAATCAGGTCCCTTGAATTTTTTTCCACTGAGAGGACACAACCATTTATCTTTCGATAATTCTTGCGTGTTCGCTTGCACGAATTTTTCAACTTCACTATATGTCATCAAGTTAAGGAAAATATTTGTGAACCAAAGATATTACGGTGATCTATTTCTTTCCTTACTAAAATCATCAGACTATAGTCATCCGACAAAATTCTGTTTGAATTAATAACGCTAGATGAACGTAATATATTTTAATATCTTCATGGCGATCAACATTCCTTATCTTGGCATATATTCACTTTGTTCTATATTAACCCTTTAGAGATTTTGATCTCAGTACAGTTATAATTCAAAGCTACAATTTTTGCCTTTTAATCAAAATAAAATTATTAATATATAGACAGTTAAAAAGATGTAATAATACTCATATAATTAAATAAATTTTTTTTAATCATTGTGACCATTGTACCATTCGATAGAAAATACTTCTCAATAATATATTACTTATATATCCGATAAAAATGACTAGAAGGTTAATTTTACATAACTTAAATAAGAAACCAATAATTTTGTATAATACGACAAAGTATCAAATGTTATATTTTGAGACTATAACGAAAGAAATAATCTTTCTATAATAAAATAAAAAAAGGATACGCATCGGCATTTTTAGCACCGAGTTTATCAAATTCTTCAGTTGACAAAGTCGCAACAGGTTGTAGGAAAGCAGCCATTTTAGTTTCAAAATTACGACAGTATTCTTGTAATTCGGTACTAGTCACCTTAGCTGTGGGTGGAGAACCTCTAACGTGCATTATTCCACATCTATTCGGCATTTCATCTTCATTGGGATATTCACAATGATTGTAATAATCTACCGAATGAACTACTCGTAAATATAATACCAATCTATCTAGTACCTAAAAATAAAACTATGTATATATCTTTGTGATCGAAGTATAATAAGGTAATCATTAAATTTTTATATAGGTAAAAATGTCATTACTTTAATTAAGGATGGGTCTCTCTCGATTGGTCCATCTCCATCTCCTCCTAATTGACCTTCCTCTTGGTCACCGGACATACCTAACAATTCTTCTTCTTCTGCTGATGCCTCCTCTATCAAATAATCCGTTATATTTTTCAATACTGGATTTTTCGAAGACAATCCAAAAGCCTAAAAACGTACGGTTTCATATAGTTTTGTGATCAGAAAATTAAGTTATAAAATAATCGAACATAGAAAGTAACAAAAAAAGACAAACTTTTGACGACTTACAGCTTGTTCAACTTCACTTTGAGATGTTGTATTTTCCTTATTATCATCGTTTTGTTTGTTCGAATTTTCCTCTTTTTTTTCTTCATTCCACAATCCTACACGATTATCTAAATTATGAACAATCTTTGCGCTAAGCTTAATGTCATGTCTAATTATTTGCTTGTGAGAGGTAATTCCATTTATTCTACGAATACGACGTGACAGATCTCTGTTTACAATAGCGCCTAATTCACAATCTCTTAGCTGCTCCAAAATAAATAATATCCGTAAATATATGTATACATTTATATACAGTACATTTTTAAGTATAAAATAATAAGGAATTAATTGTATATATTATACTTACTCGTATATTGTTTAAACTCCAACAGATTTCTTTTATATTAACTTGTCTTTCAAATGAGACCCAACCACGTCGAAACCATCGTCTTTCCGGTTGCGGATCGGCTATTGCAACCCGTAAGAAACCAGGAAAACGCTTACACATCTAATAGAACATCCAATTATGACTAATAATTTGGTCGAAATAATCAACATCAACAAGAAAAAATAATAACAAAAGTAATAATAATTTTTAATTAAAATATATATCTAACCGCTTCGACTTCGGCTTTTGTAATAGTTGGTGCCAAATTTCGGAGAAAGATACTACTAGTTTTATGAAGTGCCCTAGGCTCCTTTTCTTTATCTTCACTGGCTAAATCAATAACAGCCTCCGGCTCAATTGTAGGTTTTTTAGTTTCTATCGAGTCAACTTGCTCTGTTTTTATTTCTTCCTTTTCTTGTTTGATACCTCCATCCTCATTATTATCATTAACGACATCTGTCTTTTCATTTTCGGCTGAGTAAAAACAATTAAAAACATTTAAAAATTTTATAAACATATATGCATATATATATATATATATATATATATATATATATATATATATATATATATATGTTGCGTGTATATATATACACAATATTATAGAATATATATACAAGAACGCATATTGTCAGAAAAGGAAAAAACATAAAGATCTTTGTGAAGGAAAGAAAGATAACCAACAGGAAAAGATGGAAGAAAACAAATGAAAAACATAAACAAAATATTAAAACATATTAAAAGGAGGAAAAAAGGATAGAAATAATAAATAAAATAGGGCTGCAAAAATGCAAGAAAGTACTTCATGGAGCTGCTAGAAGGAGGAAGAACACAAGAAACAGAAAGAAGAGAATATAATATTTACATCATGTAGGTATAGCCACGTGCCAACACTTTTTCGAGGTAAAAGGCAATAAAATACAACTACTAACTACGTATATAAAATAAATTATATAAAACATATAAATAAATTTTAATGCATGTAGGTATGCATAATATATAAATGCATGATGCACAACCACACACACACAAAATATTTGAAATTTATGAATATTTACGTGTTTCAGCTTTTGGAGTATCAGCTTTATTGCTGTCACTTCCTGAAGAGCTACTGCTACTGCTGCTGCTACTACTACTGTTACTATTTGTTCGTTTTCGTTTCCTCGTATTAATTTCCTCTGATTTTTCTTCTACAATAAAATAAAGTAATGATAGCGTGTACAAAAATAACGACAAATCTAGTACGATAAAGCATGTAATGTAGGCATACTTGTTTCCTCAGATTTGAAGTTTTCTTCCATATCTTTTGTTTCTTCTGCAGATACTTTTATTTTCTCAAGTTCATTTACTGCATTTTCATTTTCTTCAACGTGTTTTACATCAGCATCAGCATTCTGCCCATTTTTACACGATTTTTCTTCAATTACTAATTCGTCTGTTTTAACATGTTCACTGAAACAATCGAGGTATATCACCA